TGATCTTTTGCTGGAGAAAAAAAAATAGCTTACCTGTGTTATTATCAATAGACTATTTCCACTTTTTGTGGAGCAATTTGCAAGATACTTTGTGCCAAGCTGGAATTTGAAATGCCTTAATGGACACCTTACTGCCGCAGGTGTGTATGGGTTTCCACGCTGTCCTGGTGAGAGTTCACACATCTGTGATTGGATCCGAAAGATGCTTGATCTTGGGGCCTACACCAAGTCGGTCCAGGAGCGGTGAGTTCAGTTTTTGAAAGAGACAGATGGTTCAAAGAGATGTGACTGCGATGGGCATCTTTTTGCTGTATGTTTCAAATGCTCCTTCTCTCCCTCCTCTCTATTACAGTTTGGTACAAGCTCAGTATTGGCATGATCCACTGAATGAAGAGGAATACCGAAAGAACAGCCTTTTCTTGGCTGACATCAATCAGGAGCGAGTAAGTCAAATTTTCTTGGCTTTTTTGTTTTGGGGCGAGGCTTTTATGCCACTGCTCAAACCAAAAAAGAGATGTTGATGCAGTCCTGGAACAAGATTTCAGGCATGGATTATTCTGGAGTGGATATAGCGTACCTGGATTTCAGAAAGGCCTTCGACAAGGTCCCTCATGACCTTCTGGCAAACAAACTAGTCCAATGTGGGCTAGGCAAAATTACAGTGAGGTGGATCAGTAATTGGTTAAATGGACGAACCCAGAGGGTGCTCACCAGTGCTTTTTCACCCTGGAAAGAAGTGACGAGCAGAGTTCTGCAGGGTTCTGTCCTGGTCCCGATCCTGTCAACATCTTTATTAATGACTTAGATGAAGGGCTAGAAGGCATGATCAAGTTTGCAGACGACACCAAATTGGGAGGGATAGCCAATACTCCAGAGGACAGGAGCAGGATTCAAAACGATCTTGACAGATTAGAGAGATGGGCCAAAACTAACAAAATGAAGTTCAACAGTGACAAATGCAAGATACTCCACTTTGGCAGGAAAAACGAAATGCAAAGATACAGAATGGGGGACGCCTGGCTGGAGAGCAGTACGTGTGAAAAAGATCTTGGAGTCCTCGTGGGCAACAAGTTAAACATGAGCCAACAATGTGATGTGGCGGCAAAAAAAGCCAATGGGATTTTGGCCTGCATCAATAGGAGCATAGTGTCTAGATTTAGGGAAGTAATGCTACCCCTCTATTCTGCTTTGGTTAGACCACACCTGGAATATTGTGTCCAATTCTGGGCACCACAATTGAAGAGAGATATTGACAAGCTGGAATGTGTCCAGAGGAGGGCGACTAAAATGATCAAGGGTCTGGAGAACAAGCCCTATGAGGAGTGGCTTAAGGAGGGCATGTTTAGCCTGAAGAAGAGAAGGCTGAGAGGAGATATGATAGCCATGTATAAATATGTGAGAGGAAGTCATAGGGAGAGGGAGCAAGCTTGTTTTCTGCTGCCCTGGAGACTAGGACGGGGACAATGGCTTCAAACTACAAGAGAGGAGATTCCATCTGAACATGAGGAAGAACCTCCTGACTGTGAGAGCTGTTCAGCAGTGGAACTCTCTGCCCCGGAGTGTGGTGGAGGCTCCTTCTTTGGAAGCTTTTAAACAGAGGCTGGATGGCCATCTGTCAGGGGTGATTTGAATGCAATATTCCTGCTTCTTGGCAGGGGGGGTTGGACTGGATGGCCCATGAGGTCTCTTCCAACTCTTTGATTCTATGATTCTATGAGTCTTATTATTCCATTTCCTTCTCTCTACCCTGCTACTCTTCTCAGGGTGTCAACACGACCTACAAGAAAAACCTGATGTCTTTGAACAAGTTTGTGATGGTGAAGTTCCTGAAGGACACTATGGTAGACCCTCCTGCCTCAGAGGTAAGCAACCCAGTATGTTGACATGCCTCTACGTTAAGGACAAAAAGAAATTTTAAAAACCCTAAAGAATCTGCTGGAGAGAAGAATTGATCTGGCCAAGCTACTAAAATAACAAAAGGGAAGAAGGAACACACATTCCTCTGTGCTTTCTTTCTGGATGCCTCCATGCACTCAGATAGATAGATAGATAGATAGATAGATAGATAGACCGTATATACTTGAGTATAAGCCGACCCGAATATAAGCCGAGGCACCTAATTTTACCACAAAAAACTGGGTAAACCTATTGACTCGAGTATAAGCTGAGGGTGGGAAATGCATAGTTACTGGAAAATTTCAAAATGAAAATAGATATCAATAAAACTATATTAATTGAGGCATCAGTAGGTTAAATGTTTTTGAATATTTACATAAAACTGTAATTTAAGATAAGACTGTCCAGCTCTGATTAAATCATTATTCTAATTTTCAGTGTAAATGTGCTTATGTATCCCTCCAATAATTATAAAGAGAGTATAATAGCACCGGGATTGTAGCACAGCTGGCTGAGTATCAGCTGCATCAAGATAACTCTGACCAAAAGGTCATGAGTTCGAAGCCAGCCCGGGTTGGAGTGGGTTTCCAACCAATTGTGTAGCCTGTTGTCGACCTTTGCAACCCGAAAGACAGTTGCATCTGTCAAGTAGGAAAATTAGGTACCACCTTAAAGTGTGGGGAGGCTAAATTAACTAATTTATGAGGCCATAAAAAAAGACTCCAGCAAGCACTCCAGCAAAAAAGCATGCGGGGAATGCGGAAGTACTTCATCAGTGTCGCAGATGGATGATGAATGCCACAGCTCCCTTGGCGGCCAGAAAACGTTAAATAGCCTCTGTCTATGTCTGTATATGTTGTATGTCAAAATTGGCATTGAATGTTTGCCATATATGTGTACACTGTAATCCGCCCTGAGTCCCCTGCGGGGTGAGAAGGGCGGAATATAAATGCTGTAAATAAAATAAATAAATAAATAAATAAATAAATAAATAAATAAATAAATAATGAAATCCAGCGTATATACCTTATTTGCTGTGTCATACTGTGTTTTTGTGTCAGGATAATAATAATAATAATAATAATAATAATAATAATAATAATAGTAATAGAGTAAAATAATGGAAATGTAATAACAGTAATAACAGAGTAAAATTATAAATGCAGTAACAATAAAAATAAAGTAAAATAATAAATGTAATAAAATAATACTGTAGAGTAAAATAATGTAAATATAATAATAATAATTAATATATTAAAATAATTCATATATTAAAATGATACTAATAACAAAGTAAAGTAATAAATAACCTTGACTCGAGTATAAGCTGAGGGGAACCTTTTCAGCCTAAAAAGGGGGCTGAAAAACTAGGCTTATACTCTAGTATATACAGTATGTGTGTGTGTGTGTGTGTATATATATATGTATGTGTGTGTGTGTGTGTATATGTGTGTGTGTGTGTGTGTGTATGTGTGTATATATATATATATATATATATATATATATAAATGCTCTGTGCGTAATGAGTGCCTTAAAAACAAAAGAACCAATGAATGAAATCACACCAAATTTGGCAACAAAACATCTCACAACACAAGGAGTGACCATCACTCAAAAAAAATGATTTTGTCATTTGGGAGTTGTAATTACTGGGATTTATAGTTCACCTATAATCAAAGAGCATTCTGAACCCCAATGATGGAATTGAACCAAACTTGGCACACAGGACTCCCATGACCAACAGAAAATACTGTAAGAGTTTGGTGGGCATTGACCTTGAGTTTGGGAGTTGTAGCTCACCTACATCCAGAGAGCACTGTGGATTCAAACAATGATGGATCTGGACCAAACTTGGCACAAGCACTCAATACACCCAAATGTGAACACAGATGGAGTTTGGGGAAAATAGACCTTGACGTTTGGGAGTTGTAGTCACTGGGATTCACAGTTCACCTACAAAGAACATTCTGAACCCCACAAACAACAGAATCGGGGCAAACTTCCCACACAGAACCCCCATGACTAACAGAAAATACTGTGTTTTCTGGTGGTTTTTGGTGACCCTTCTGACACCCCCATGGTGCCCCCCCCCCCCCCCCGGGTCTTGACTTCCCAGGTTGAGAAATGCTGCCTTAAGGCCACCCAGTCCAACTCCCTTCACCAGGGCAAGAAAACATAATCAAAGCCCTCCTGACATAGGGCCATCCAGCCATTCACACACACATATATGTATATGACAGATGCAGTATCAAAGATTTGAAAGGGACCGCCAAAGAAGGACAATGATATGTTGCATGTTCCAGAGTAGGCAAACCAGACAATCTCCACATCAACACTGACAAAGAAACAGCAAGAAATACTGTTTACCCACAAGTATAAAGGCATTACATATATTAGAAACCAACACTTTCTCATTACTTTATTTTCCATTATCACCTGACTGGGCCACAGCAACGCGTGGCAGGGGATGGCTAGTGTATGTGTATATAGATAGATAGATAGATAGATAGATAGATAGATAGATAGATAGACTTTTTCAACTATCCTCTTTTTCAATTATTTCTTAGTTCTTAATGCTTGGTATTAAGAACTGCACAGTGGGTTAAACCGCTGAGCTTCTGAACTTGTTGATCAAAAGATCACAGGTTCAAATCTAGGGAGCGGCGTGATCTCCCGCTGTCAGCCCCAGCTTCTGCCAACCTAGCAGTTTGAAAACGTGCAAATGTGAGTAGATCAATAGGCAGGAAGGTAACAGTGCTCCGTGTAGTCATGCCGGCCACATGACCTTGGATGTGTCTACAGACAACGTCGGCTTTTCGGCTTAGAAATGGAGATGAGCACCAACCCCCAGAGTCGGACACGACTGGACTTAATGTCAGAGGAAAATCTTTACCTAACACCTGGTATTGTACCAGGAAGGTGATCCTGGTCAGAAATATTAAAAATTAACTAGGTATTTTTGGTTACAAAAGTGTGAGTCAAGCACTGAAAGAGTTAGTAGGCCAGAGTCTGTTAGAGTCAGTGGGCCAAAGCTAGTGTCATCCTAAGGAAAGTGAGTAGGCCAAAGCCTGTTAGAGTTAGTGGGGCAAAGCTAGTATCGTACTGAGGAGTGTGAGGTAGATCTCAGTGTGAGAGAAACCTATTGTGAGAAAGCTCCAGAGTGAAGGCTGTTTTGCGTAAAGCTGCTATGTATTTGTTTATGTCATGGAAACCTTGTTTTTGTAAATAGTGCAACCATATTTTACTATAAAGACAAGTCTCCTATGGATGAGATAACATTGGTCTGTGTGTTTTTGTTCTTTTTGTCACTTTTGGCTACTGAGGCTGGGTCATGCCGCTGCTAATAAGTTACTCTGCTTTGCATTTATGAGGAGGACCTTTTGTTAATAAGCCCACTCGCCCAACAATCCCAGCATAAAGGAAGGCAGGGTCATGTAGGTGGAGTATGCATTACTTGATCCTTTGATAATCAGCTCAAATGTGCATGCTTGAGAGTCTTTCTCACCCTGAGCGACTCATGAGGAAAAACAATCCTGGATGCACATAAAACATGCTGTTTGGCCTCTTGGGCCCTTGTGCCCTGGGTACAGAGATAGAGACTCTCGATCATTTCTTCTTTTCCCCTTCTCTTTCCACAGTGGTTTGGGTACTATCGGAGCAACCAAGCTAAAGAGACCATTCCCCTGAATGAGACATTACTGTACACAGAGGTAAGTAACAATTGTGCACACGACTGTTTTTGCTATGAAGAGTACAGAGCAGAACCTAGCTGCTAAAAAACTATTCCTATCCCTTCATCTATGTGTATGTTTAATGTAACCAAAGAACCCGTTTCCACTTATCGTAGGTGACTACAAAAAAACCAGGAAGAATGGAGGCCTAAACAATACTTTCTACAATTAACTGAGAAGGGAAGCCAGATAGGCTTCATGGGACTGGGGAAGGCCTCACTCTGCTGTTTGGAGCATGGATTCAGTCTATATAAATAAAAATGTAATGTTCGTTTGTGCTATTCACAGAACTCAGAAACCACTGGGGCAATTGACACCAAATTTGGACACTATGTCCCTAACAACCCAATGTATGTTCTCCACTCAAAAGAACAACAAAAACCAAAAGCAGAAAGGACTTCTAAACTGCATGTCCACAAAGGAGAAACTGCATGTCTACAGAGACCCATGGCCACGCCCCCTCCTCCTCCTCGCGGGGAAACAGCCGGCCGTTAAAGCCAGGCGCATGTGCACGGCCACACACACACACAAGCGAGTGGAGTGGAGGTGGAGGCTTGCCACATGCAGGAGGGCAGTCTCCTCCTCCTTTCCCTGTTGAAGAGGAAAGGGCGGATGAGTGCCAGCAGCAGCATCGGAGCAAGGAAGAAGGGGAGGAGGAGGAGGAGGGGGAGGGGGAGGAGGCGAGGAAGGTCCACGGTGTTTGAATGAAGGACCTTCCTTCTCTCCCTCCCTTCCCTTCTTTCCTCCCTTTTCTTTCTTCCTTTCTTCCTCCTTCTCCTTCCTTTCCTTCTTTTCCTTCCTTTCCTTCCTTCCCTCCTTCCTTCCTTCTTTCCTTCCCTCCTCCCTTTCCTCCTTCTTTCCCTTTCTTCCTTCCTTCCCTTCATTTCCTTCCCTCCCTCCTTTCTTCATCCCCCTCCTTCTTTCCCTCCTTCCTTCTTCCTTCCTTCTCCCTCCCTCCCTCCTCCTTCTTTCTTTTCCTTCCTTCCCTTCTTTCCCTCCCTTCCCTTTCCTTCCTTCCTGTCCCTCCTTCCTTCCTTCTTCCTTTCCTTCTTTCTATGCAAGATATAAATACAATATTAAATGGAAGGGACAGTCAAGAAGTAACGAGAGAAGGAAGGAAAGAGGGAAGGAAAGAGAAGCAGGGAGGGAAAGAAGGAAAGAAAGAAAGATAGAGAAGCAAGGAAGGAGAGAAGGAAATAAAAAAGTGAAAGGAAAAAGAGAGGGAAGGAAGGAGAGAAGGAACAAAAGATAGGGAAGGAAGGATGTAACCAGAGAGCAAAGAAAGGGAGGAAAGAAACAGGTAGAGATGGAAGAAAGAAGAGAGATAGGGAAAGAAAAAGAGGAAAGGAAGGAAAGAGGGAAGGAAGGAGAGAAAGAGGAAGGGGAAGGTTGGCCACAGCAACGCGTGGCGGGTACAGCTAGTATTCTAATATTTTTGAATGGAAAACTGAGTGGATACAAAAGGAATGGGGAAGCTGTAGCCTTTCAATGCCAGGGTGCCACTTCCATTATCCATGACTATTGGCTCAGACTGATGGTTGCTAAACTAACAGTGTTTCTCAACCTTCCTAATGCCGCGACCCCTTAACACAGTTCCTCATGCTGTGAGGAACCATAATCATAAAATTATTTTTGTTGTTACTTCATAACTGTAATTTTGCTACTGTTATGAATTGTAATGTAAATATCTGATATGCAGGATGTATTTCCTTTCACTTGACCAAATTTGGCACAAATACCCGATACACCCAAATTTGAATACTGGTGGGGTTGGGGATTGATCTTGTCATTTGGGAGTTGTAGTTGCTGGAATTTGTAGTTCACCTACAATCAAAGAGCATTCTGAACTCCCCCAACAATGGAATTGAATTATACTTGACACACAGAACTCCCATAACCAACAGAAAATACTGGAAGGGCTTGGTGGGCATTGACCTTGAGTTTTAGAGTTGTAGTTCACCTACGTCCAGAGAGCACTGTGGACTCAAACAATGATGGATCTGGACCAAACTTGGCCCGAATACTCAGTATGCCCAAATTTGATCATTGGTAGTTTGGGGAAATTTGACATTTGGGAGTTGTCGTTGCTGGGATGTATAGTTCACCTACAATCAAAGAGCATTCTGAACCCAACGAACAATAGAATTGGGCCAAAATTCCCACACAGAACCACCATTATTTGAAGGGACTTGCTGGCACAAGCCTCCCTCCAGCCTTGCATGCTCTCCCCCTCCTCGCACATGCGCAACATGCTGCCATGCGCCGAGCACGCCTTCTCTTCCCTCCCTGTTTGGAGTCCCAGAAACATCCATTCTCTTGCTTTAGGCCAGACAATTACAGGAGGAGTAGGACTTTTGGTGGGAGGATTCACTGTCTTGTTTCCAAAAAGAAAGAGAAGGACAGACGGAGAGATCTTCGGCCTTGTCTGCCAAAGGGATTCCTAAGCTCAGGGGTCCTTAAACTTTTTAAACAGAGGGCCAGGTCACAGTCCCTCAAACTGTTGGAGGGCTGGATTAAAATTTGAAAACAACATGAATGAATTCTTATGCAGACTGCACATATCTTATTTTGTAGTGCAAAAAACACTTAAAAAACACTCCTACCTACGTGACCGCATCTCTGTGTACGAACCCACCCATAGAATCATAGAATCAAAGAGTTGGAAGAGACCTCATGGGCCATCCAGTCCAACCCCCTGCCAAGAAGCAGGAATATTGCATTCAAATCACCCCTGACAGATGGCCATCCAGCCTCTGTTTAAAGCTTCTAAAGAAGGAGCCTCCACCACACTCCGGGGCAGAGAGTTCCACTGCTGAACGGCTCTCACAGTCAGGAAGTTCTTCCTCATGTTCAGATGGAATCTCCTCTCTTGTAGTTTGAAGCCATTGTTCTGCATCCTAGTCTCCAAGGAAGCAGAAAACAAGCTTGCTCCCTCCTCCCTGTGACTTCCTCTCACATATTCATACATGGCTATCATGTCTCCTCTCAGCCTTCTCTTCTTCAAGCTAAACATGCCCAGCTCTTTAAGCCACTCCTCATAGGGCTTGTTCTCCAGACCCTTGATCATTTTAGTCGCCCTCCTCTGGACACATTCCAGCTTGTCAATATCTCTCTTGAATTGTGGTGCCCAGAATTGGACACAATATTCCAGGTGTGGTCTAACCAAAGCAGAATAGAGGGGTAGCATTACTTCCCTAGATCTAGACACTATGCTCCTATTGATGCAGGCCAAAAATCCCATTGGCTTTTTTTGCCGCCACATCACATTGTTGGCTCATGTTTAACTTGTTGTCCACGAGGACTCCAAGATCTTTTTCACACGTACTGCTCTCGAGCCAGGCCCCCATTCTGTATCTTTGCATTTCGTTTTTCCTGCCAAAGTGGAGTCTCTTGCATTTGTCACTGTTGAACTTCATTTTGTTAGTTTTGGCCCATCTCTCTAATCTGTCAAGATCGTTTTGAATCCTGCTCCTGTCCTCTGGAGTATTGGCTATCCCTCCCAATTTGGTGTCGTCTGCAAACTTGATGATCCTGCCTTCTAGCCCTTCATCTAAGTCATGAATAAAGATGTTGAACAGGACCGGGCCCAGGACGGAACCCTGCGGCACTCCACTTGTCACTTCTTTCCAAGGATGAAGAGGAAGCATTGGTGAGCACCCTCTGGGTTCGTCCATTTAACCAATTACAGATCCACCTCACCGTAGTTTTGCCTAGCCCACATTGGACTAGTTTCCTTGCCAGAAGGTCGTGGGGGACCTTGTCGAAGGCCTTACTGAAATCCAGGTACGCTACATCCACGGCATTCCCCGCATCTACCCAGCTTGTAACTCTATCGAAAAAAGAGATCAGATTAGTCTGGCATGACTTGTTTTGGATAAATCCATGTTGACTATTAGCGATGACGGCATTTGTTTCTAAGTGTTTGCAGACCACTTCCTTAACAATCTTTTCCAGAATCTTGCCTGGTATCGACGTGAGGCTGACCGGACGGTAGTTGTTTGGGTCATCCTTTTTTCCCTTCTTGAAGATTGGGACCACATTGGCCCTCCTCCAGTCTGCTGGAACTTCTCCCGTTCTCCAAGAACTCTCAAAGATGATTGCCAATGGTTCCGAAATGACTTCCGCTAGTTCCTTCAGTACTCTTGGGTGTAGTTGATCTGGCCCTGGGGACTTGAACTCATTTAGAGCGGCCAGGTATTCCTGGATGACTTGTTTCCCAATTTGGGGTTGGATGTCCTCTAATCCCTCATCCACTCCGTCTTGCTGAGGTTGAAGATGACCTTTTTGTGAGAAGACCGAGGCAAAGAAGGTGTTAAGTAGTTCTGCCTTTTCCCTATCCCCTGTCAGCATTGCCCCATCTTCTCCTCGAAGAGGCCCTATCGCGTCCTTGTTTTTCCTTTTTCTACTGACATAAGAGAAAAGAAGCCCTTTTTATTGTTTTTAATGTCCCTGGCAAGCCTGAGCTCGTTTTATGCTTTAGCCTTGTGGACCTTTTCCCTTTTGAGTCCCAGTTCCCTTGATTCTTATCCAGATGCTTTCAAGCTGGTTTCCCAGATTGCTGTCCTGCATCTCTTCTGTAGCATAAGAGTTTTTTCACATATAAGGCTACTCCGCCTCCTCTCCCCTTTGTTCGGTTTCTGTGAAAGAGGTTATAGCCCTCGATGTCTACATTCCAGCGATAGGAGTCATCCCACCAGGTTTCAGTGATGCCTATGATATCATATTTGTGGTGTTGTGCTAAAAGTTGGAGTTCGTCTTGTTTATTTCCCATGCTCTGTGCATTAGTGTAAAGACATGTGAGCCCCTGAGATCTTCCCCTGAGCTGTTTAATTGGGATCCCTTTGATCATCTGGAGAGGCCCTGCTCATGGTTTCACCTCCATCGCAGGCGTGATTGGTGGGGACGAAGGAGAGGGCTTTCTTGTTGGTGGCCCCTCGACTCTGGAACTCACTCCCCAAGGACATCAGGCATGCCCCAACCCTGGCAGTCTTTAGGAGGAGACTGAAAACGTGGTTGTTCCAGTGTGCCTTCCCAGAATAAGGAAACTCCCAGCAATGTCCTCGAAATGCACTTTACTATTGATCTAGGATTGTCTGCACACCCCATCCCTCTCTGAAAACTCTATCCTAGTTCATATTTCATCTGTTCATGCTCAGCATTATTCTTAAATTTTAATTATTACATTTGCCCTGCCATAGGTTTTAAACGTCGTTGTGTTATTGCTATTGTTTATTTTTTGTTATGAGTTTTATTTTATTGTCTGTATTAATTGTTGTTATTGCTTTTATCATTGATGTTTTGTGGGCTCGGCCTCATGCAAGCCGCACCGAGTCCCTCGGGAGATGGTAGCAGAGTATAAATAAAGATTATTATTATTATTATTATTATTATTATTATTATTATTATGTTATTGTTATTGCTATTATTATTAAAAACAATACAATAATTAAAATGAAGAGCAATTTCAACAAATATAAAATTATTCGTATTTCAATGGGAAGTGTGGGCTTACTTTTGGCTGATGAGATAGGATTGTTGCTGTCGTTGTTGTGTGCAGATGGATGATAAAAGCGACAGCTCCCCTGGCGGCCAAAAAAAAAAAAAAGTTAAATAGCCTCTATATGTTGTATGTCAAAATTGGCATTGAATGTTTGCCATCTATGTGTACACTGTAATCCGCCCTGAGTCCTCTGCGGGGTGAGAATGGCGGAATATAAATGCTGCAAATAAAATAAATAAATAAATAAATAAATATGATGGTAAGATAACAGTAGCCCAAGATCTGTGGAAGAAGCCTTACAAGTCACACTTATTTTTTTTAAGGCAAAGATGGAAATGTGAAGTGTTTTGTAGTTTGTAGTTTGTAGGGTCTTAAAAATTTACTCCAATATTCTCTCAACTGCAAGCTTACTAACTAGCAACGTTTGGTACTAGTCTGACATTTTTGTGTGATTTTCTGACTAAAAGATTGCTGTTACTTACACTGGGACGCTCCTTTTTTTAGGATCGCTTGGGCTTGAAGGAAATGGACCAGGCAGGAAAGCTGGTGTTCCTGGGAGTGGAAGGAGACCACCTTCACTTTTCGGAAGACTGGTTCTACAAAAACATTCTGCCATTTCTACAGTGAAGCTGATGGGCTGCAGACGGAATCGAGAATTTTCTAAGGAAGTCACCTGTTGGGAGGCAATTTTTGTGGCGTCTTGGGCCTAGCTGGCATTTGCTGTCGTCATGCCTAGAGGGAGAATGCATTGCCACTAACTTGCTAGATGCTGGTTTAAGCGTTAACATATGTCTTTAACTGAACTCCACACCACTGCTTTAGCACAAAATGGTCTGACCTTTAGAATAGTGAATTATGTGTGGCCTCCGAATGGCTTTGGATTCTGTTGTCATCAAGCTTAGCCAGCATAACATGTGAGGCAGGATTTTATCAGCTGGAGTCCAGCTTTTGGAGCGTTATATATTCCCCTTCCTCATCAAGAAGTTTTCTAGGCCATAAACCTGCCTTCAGATATTTTAGATTGTAGCTTTTAATCCTGCATAAGGCCCCAAAGTGATAAACTTTAAATGAGGCACCAGATAGTATTACCCTTTAAGCTTCATCTTTTGAGGGCACTTCTGCCCAGTGTGCCAAAAACAAGGCCTAATTCAACTGCGGCAGAGGAGAAATCCTCATGTGGTACTTTTTGGTGTGACTTCCATGGTTTTGTCAGCACCAAATGAAATTCAAACGCTTAGGCCAAGCAGTGAATCTACTGCAGCCTGCTAAATTTTTTACAGAGTACTCAGGGATGAGATAGCTAGTATCTCTTTCGAGGGAGGAGAATTGCACTGAGCCTTGGGTAATTAGTATACATTACTTACCTTAGGTGATATGGAGAGAGTAACTTGAAAGCAAGACATAAAAGATTGAGACATGAAGCATTTGATTAAATATGCAGGAAAGGTGAAGTTCAACTAGAGCTCATTTTTGGCGCAATAGCAACTTAAGAGGAGCGTGTGGGAAACGGTTCGAACGTTGTAGTTTTTGCTTTTCTGTATTATGTTTTAACAAGGAGCACTATATGAACGTGTTCCCACTTGACACATTCCAGTAAAGAAATTTGATCATGGTGGTGGTGTCAGCATCATAACTTGTCTTCAGATGCCTTCACAGAGGATTTTTAGATATTTAACTGAATCTTCTTCCCAGTCAGCAAGAATGCTTAGGAGTATGACTGTAGAATTTGCACTTAGAAAGCAAGAGGTGTCAATAGTTGAGGGGATGAACTTCCAGGACTTGCAGAATTATAAACTTGGAAAGGGTCACAAGGGCCATCTTGTCCAACCCTCTGCTATGCAGAAACACATGACTAAAGCATTCCAACCACAGTTTAAAGGGTTAGATCTCACCGCCTCCCAAGGCAGTCCATTCCATGGCCAAATATGGTTCTTATAATAATGTCTTCCTAATGCTTGGGGGGGGGGGGGGATCTTTTATCACCGGAACCCATTAGTTCTAGCCTGTAATAGGATAGCACACTTCTAAAGTACTGTATATCCTGGCGTATAAGACTACTTTTTAACCCAAGCAAATCTCAAAAGTCAGGGGTTGTCTTAATACGTGGGAGTAGTCTTATACGCTGGGAGTCGTCTTATATGCTGGGAGTCGTCTTATAGAGCGGGTGCTGAAAATTCCAATCCGGATTGGAGAATCTGTGGTTGCTGCATATGGTGTGGGGGAGTTCAAAAATGGCAGTGGCCACGTCCCTGCCATATCCAGCGACTGTATGAAAGCATTAAGGGCGACGCTGTACAAGTATGGTAGAAGAAAATCCATTCATCAGGATTCATTGACGTAATGCAGTCCCAATGGTGAGGTGAAAGGGCGCCTCACCGGGAAGGTGTGTGTCTGGGGTGCCCGGGGTATGGAAAAAAGAGGTAAGAGTGGCTCTGGGCCCAGAAAAACACACCTCCTTTACCTGTCTGGTTGGCCCTTGTATCCTGTTATCCGTATCTCCTCCTCTGCCTCTCAGATCTCGCTCCTGCAGTGAAGTGGTGCAGGTGTGCATGTGCGAGATCTGAGCAGCAGAGGAGGTACAGTAATAGGAAAATTACCATATTGAAATCAAATCTGATGCTTTTAAACATTTTATTTGGTGTGCACTGGAAGGGGGGTAGTCTTATACAGGGAGTATATCCCAAATTCTATATTTTAACTGGAAAAGTTGGGTAGTAATTACTCATGGACCCCGGTTACAATTTCATTTGTTTATTTCGTGTTTTCATACTGTTCCATCCATTCGGGTGGCATAGAATGGTACAACCCACTCGGAAATGGAAACATCAGTGAAACAAAAAGGTGGGGACCCTTTCTTTGGCTGATTTTCGGCGTGTTGGCTGTAGGCCCTACAGCCAAGCGCTTGATGCTTGTAGGCCCATGCTGGCAGGGCTTACAGCCGAGTGCTCAACGTTTGAAGGCCCAGCTGGCAGGCCCTACAACAGAGCGCCCAGTGCACTTGGCTGTAGGCCCTGGTGCTTTGCTGCCCAAAGTCCGAAAATCTTAATTTTTTTCGGACCTTGGGCTGAAAAGCTCATTTGTTCAGGTGCCCATTTTCGGAAGCAGCTGATAGAAATGGGGCCATACGAATGGGGCAAACAAACGGATAGGAATTCCATACAAATGCACAAGACTAGTAATTATATCATTCCCCCAACTGTGGCATGTACCAATATGTTCAAGTGGCGTGTATGCACTTGCCCTCATCCTTCAAGACAAAAAATATCCTGAAGATGACAAATTACGTGAGCCTTGGGCTACAGAGTGAGATCAGAGGATTGGTGGTTACTGTGAAGATTCTTGTTTGGCTGAAGCAAAGACAGGGAATTAACAAAGGAGCACCACCTTAATGAGCAACTTGGCATTAACTTTATTCTATCTTCAGTATAATTTTAAGTACATAAGAAAGGTTTTATTTCCACAAGCCTCAGGAGAGAAGTACAAGTCACAGGACAGTTTCAAAATAAAAAGAGGAATTGCATATCTTCTGTTACGTTCCTTTTTTTAGTGGAAGGAAACCTCATTAACTGTGGCAAAGAGGGAAGTAAGATATGTGTATGCTATCCGAGACACTACTAGTTAGGCGCACAGGCAGCTCCCTTTGGTGGGTCAGTACAGTACCATGCCTTTTGGCTTTGACGCAACCACTGTGGCGCCAGGTGAACACACACCAGACTTTCGGCAGAGAAGAAGCCAAGCAACAGGGGAAAGGGACAGCCAGAGAAGGAACGCTCCCCAGCCTCTATTACACAACGCCAACAAGCTTGGATGAAATGACCAAACCAACTGCAATGAACTTGTGCTTACGGAGAACTAAATACTGGACTTGGAATGGAGAACTCATCCCTCCCTGGAAAAAAACAAGGGATGGGCTCTGAGCGGGGAAACAAACTGTCCTGGAAGACCGAACAATGTTCAGTTGCTCAGAAGAGGGACCCTTTGGGCACAACTTTCCCTTTAAAGGAGGCCTTAAATGGAACTGGGTGAGTGGCAGCTTCCAAAGCTGCTGGAAGGACTCCCTGGAAAGAGGGAGAGGTCTGTCCCATGGTTGTCTTGTGGCACCTGTAACAGAGATGATGTCTCCCCCAACATCATGGCACAACACAGAATTTTACACTGAGCACACAGGAAGGAATATAATTATGGGGGAGAAGGAGGAATGCGAACACATCCCAGTCTTCAGCCTTTGGTCCAGCAAAGCCATTCCTGGAAACTGTTTAAACTTTTCCTTTTAAACACTCCTGGTTAATGAGTTAAGCAGAATTAGTGAATTCCCTTGTACTTCCCCAATCCATACCTGCCATAGACACTTTCACATACACATGACTGGGGACTTCATACCCTGATACTTTTTTTCAAGAGGGGAGAGAGGGTTTTTTGTTGCTTAAACAAAGAGGAGGGAGGAAAAAAAGAACACTTAGAAGCCAGCCACTGATCCTGGCTCCAATCAGCACAAACGAGTCTGACAAAACGTGATTGGTGATGTGGTTTTGTCCGACCACGAGGAAAACACACACCTTCCTGCTGTTCCACAGAGTGAAGGAAAGAATCCTGCCACCCTACCCCAAAATCCCAGACTGAGGTATTTTCAGTGAAGGAAGGTAGGTGAGTCTCTCAAAAAGACAGAAGCAGACGGAGAGCGGAAAAGGTAAAGGAAATCTAAAAATCATCCCCAAGAAAGCAGATTTGTGTCCCACTGTGACAGTGGGGCGAAAGGAGGGCGACTGGATTGCCAGGTCAGCTTATCCGGCAATTTCTGTCACGGTGGTGACTAACTTCTTCCCGTTCCACAGCGTCTTGAACTGTTCCGGGATGGGGAACTCGTTCTGGGGGAAGAAAACACCAGAGTCAGCGCTGCTCTAAGGCATTTGGAGATAGCGATACAGCCTTCAAACTGCTTTAGCCCCAGAAATGTTAACAATAAGGATCACACCTTATTACACCGATTCTGCAACAACTGCATTGGCTACCAATAGAACATCGGATCTCTTACAAGATACTGATCCTGACATTTAGAGCTCAAAATGGCCAAGGGCCTTTATATCTTAGGGACCGCCTCATTCCTTTTCTCCATCAGTGGTCTCCTCGATCCACCCAGGAAAATCTCCTCTACATAGGGAAGTACACCAGGAAGCTACACGGCATAGAGCTTTTTCGACCTATGCTCCAATTCTGTGGAACTCGTTGCCTCCATACATTAGAGCAATGTCGGAGTTGCGACCTTTTGTAAAGGCACTCAAGACTTGGCTGTTTGGTTGTGCATTTAAGTAATCAGATCTAATTTGCCAAATAGTCACTGTTGAATGTTTTTATGTTGAATGTTTTTATATTGTGTAAATGCTATTTTAGACTGAAAGTCGCTCGGAGCACCTTGGTGGAGAGTGACTAATTAAGAAATGAAGTGAAGGGAAGTGAAGTGAAGGGAAGTGAAATGTCTTATAGCGGCACATGAAGACCTGTGGTGGATTAGAACAAGAACTCAGCATCCTTGAACACTTTGTTGTGAGCGAACAACTGAAAGGAATGAAGGCACAGATCTTGTCTCTCTTGTTCACAACTTCCACCTAAGTCAGGCCTACACAACCTGTGCCCTTCCAGATGTTTTGGGCTTTAGCTCCTAGAATTCCACTGAACAAGTTGGCTAGGGCTTCTGGGAGTTGGAGTCCCAAAGCTGGAGGGCCACAGGCTGGAAACATGAAGTTTCCACTTAGGGGTGAAAAGCCTTTGACTCTCCAGGAATCCTTCCACATAACACAATTATAGCGTTGACATTCCGTTCCAAGTGCCATGCTTCTATCCCGGGTTTATAATAAATAAATAAATAAATAAATAAATAAATAAATAAATAAATAAATAAATAATAAAACTTTATACCCCACCACCATCTCCCTGATGGGGACTCGGAGCGGCTTACATGAGGCCAAGCCCAAATAACAATTACAATAAAGAAAAACCAAAACACAAACCGAAAATGCGAACAATAACAATAACATCATATTAACATAAAAACATATGCATACACAACAATATAAAAATTACAATAAGCACAAGCACAATAACAATGGGCAGGCTACATATAATGATTAAAAAACAAACATAATTAAAACTAGTTAATTAAAACTCGAGCAAGATAAAAGAAGGAAGTAGGTAATTTGCGGAGGAGAGCTCATCGGTGTTTTGGTGTATTATCAGCCAGAGAACTCTAAAGCCAGACCATACTATAAATGCTAGATTTCATAGAGCAGTGGTTCTCAACCTGTGGATCCCCAGGTGTTTTGGCCTACAACTCCCAGAAATCCCAGCCAGTTTACCAGCTGTTAGGAATTCTGGGTGTTGAAGGCCAAAACATCTGGGAACTCACAGGTTGAGAACCACTGCCCTAGAGGATACAGAAAAGAGAGTTAATGTGGAATCACTGCTCTAAATTAACTAATTTATGAGGTCATAAAAAAAAGACTCCAGCAAAACCATGCGGGGAATGCGGAAGTACTTCATCAGTGTCGCAGATGGACGATGAAAGCGACAGGTCCCCTGGTGGCCAGAAAAAGTTAAATAGCCTCTGTCTATGTCTGTATATGTTGTATGCCAAATTGGCATTGAATGTTGGCCATATAGGTGTACACTGTAATCCGCCCTGAGTCCCCTGTGGGGTGAGAAGGGTGGAATATAAAAGCTGTAAATAAATAAATAAATAAATAAATAAATTCCCAATATGAATGAGCCTCCAGTGTTTTGGACTCCCCATAGTCCATTATTCGGCTATATAGGGCTAATGAGAGTTGGAGTCCAAAGGTCCTTCATTTCGATACTACAGGAAGATGAGCTGCAAAGGCACAAATAATATTTTGAAAATGTCTATTCAATAGAGAAACCAGCCATGGTATCAATTTGGAAAAAACCCTGGGATTCAGTTTCTGTCAACTCATCTAGAGTTGGGCTGCTTGTCCTTCCCATGTGGTGCAAGTGGTGGTTTGCCACTTACTACGGTAAACAAAATCCTGTTCCACCTGGATTTGAAAACTTGTTGGCAATACAGCCCTCCAACCCAGTTTCAGCAAGAAACTGGTGACTCCAAGAATTTTTTTACAATTGCCTGCCTCATGACCTCCCCCCCCCCCACCTCTGTATGTATCACCTTCCCAAGTGACCAGAAATAATAATAATAATAATAATAATAATAATAATAATAATACTTTATTTATACCCCGCTACCATCTCCCCAAGGGATTCGGTGCGGCTTACATGAGGCCGAGCCCGAATACAACAGTACAAGCAATAATAACAACAGTACAAGCAATTAAAATAAAAACATAGACAGTAAAATATACAACATTAGCAATAAGACAACGCACAATTATAAACAGTGGGAAGGCCAAATGTAAAGTTAAAATTGGGAATAATGCTGGGACGTGGACGAAAAGGTGATAGTGGCGTTTGTGGAACGGCATATGAGGAGACCTAAAAAAATGTAAGGTGCTTGGAGGACAAAGTGCTATGGGATCATTATTCATACACTTACAAAGTCGCCGCTCTCTGTGGGAATGAGGACGTTCATCTCTGAGGACTTGGCACTGACAATCTCGCAGTTTAAGGAGTCCTTGCTCAGGTAGACATGACAACCGTCTGTCTTGTTGATAGAAATGGTTGGCACTTTACCCATTACCTGGGAAGCAAGGCAAAGATGTCAAACCATGATAAACTTCACCACCTCTAAATATATATATTGTTGATTCTGTTTCTCTGTGTACTAAATGGATTAGGAAAGAACAACACATACAAAATACTACTGCTACTTTGCTGACTGGGATTGTGCCAATTCAGAAACAATTGAACTGGCAATTTATCATAGAATCCTAGAGCTGGAAGAGACCTCGTGGGCCATCCAATCCAACCCCATTCTGTCAAGAAGCAGGAAAATTGCATTTGAAGCATCCCCAACAGATGGCCATCCAGCCTCTCTTTAAAAGCCTCCAAAGAAGGAGCCTCCACCACACTCCTGGGCAGAGAGTTCTACTGCTGAACAGCTCTCACCATTAGGAAGTTTTTCCTAATGTTCAGGTGGCATCTCCTTTTCTGTAGTTTCAAGCCATTGTTCTGTGTCTTAAGTCTCCAGGGCAGCAGAAAACGAGCCTCCTCCCTATGACTTCCTGTCACATGTTGATACATGACCCTCATCATGTCTCCTCTCAGCCTTCTTTTCTGAAGGCTAAAAATGCCCAGCTCTTTAAGCCGCTCCTCATAGGGCTTGTTCTCCAAAGCCTTGATCATTTGTGTTGCCACCCTCTGGACACATTCCAGCTTGTCAATACCTCACTTCAATTGCGGTGCCCAAAATTGGACACAGTGTGATTCCAGGTGTGGTCTGACCAAGGCAAAATAGAGGGGTAGCATGACTTCCCTGGATCTAGGCACTAGATCCAGGTCAAAATCCCATTGGCTTTTGTAGCTGCCGCATCACATTGTTGGTTCATGTTTAACTTGTTGTCCACGAGGACTCCAAGATCTTTTTCACATGTACTGCTGTCGAGCCGGGCACCAGGAATCAGCTTCCAGGAATCATATGAAACGCTGGTCTTTGAAGTCGCAGGCAGTCCTTTTTTTGAATGCGTTCCCTATCTGGTACAGTTTAATATATATGTTTTGAGAACCACATGAAAAACTGGGTTGTTGTAGGTTTTTTTTGGGCTATATGGCCATGTTCTAGAGGCATTCTCTCCTGACGTTTCGCCTGCATCTAGGGCAAGCATCCTCAGAAAAAACCTACAACAACCCAGTGATTCCGGCCATGAAAGCCTTCGACAATACACATGAAAAAACTTCGGTTTGTCCAGGATTTTTGGCTGTTGTTAGCATGTGTTTTATCCCACTGGGTCTGTTATTAAACCTAATCCCAGTCTGATAATGGCCTCCTCCTATTTTGCGTTTTGGGTTGCTGTTGAAGTGGACGCTTCTAAATTATAACTACTCTGGGATTGAAGAGTAGGACAGAATCATAACCACGGCTTCCTGTTGCCGCACAGATGGTGAACATGGAAGCGCTATAGATATTATGACACTGCAATGACCAGCAACTCGAGCAATAAGGGGATGAGAACTATAGTCCCACATTTTCCCTAATGAAGGGATTTCAAGGATGGAAAAAAAATCTCCCACCGTCCAGAGGCCTCTCTTTTCATATTTTGAAAAATTCAAGGCAAGTCGATGGTTGTTACAATGCCGCAGAGAACGAGAGCATGTTACCTGAACTTGAACGTCTCGGCTGTTTATGATCTCCACGATTCCCACCACATCATCGAACACCAGGCCAACCTTCTTGCAGTTATCTAACAGAAACAAGGAAATAAAAAGTGTTTCCATCTTGCAATCCTGAGCACGGCCTTTCAGAAAGGAAAACTAAGTATCTCCTACTTCTGCTGTTAATTCACTGATTGATCTTAAGCAAATTACTAGAGCAGCCTCCACTGATATGTGGGGATTATAGTTTGAAAGGACCTAAACATGGATCTTTAACCACAAGTCCATTAATCTCAACTGTCTAAATATGTATATTTGAAAACTCAATAAAAATTAATAAATATGCAAATATATTTACATTTTTTCTGAATACATTTGCATGTACAGGGTGCGGCAGCATAACTTCCTTTTTTTAAATGTGCGCCATTCAGTCGGTTGAAGACGTAGCGGAGCGCTAGTGGTCTCGTTCAAGAGGTGGGAGTATAAAGTTTTGTCCTGACCATCATGCGTTGGAACAGCGAGGAGCATACTCTTGCCGTTGAAGCCTACTTTTTGAGTGGATGTTCTATGATCGCAACCCAGCGCGCCTTTCAGAATCACTTTTATTTAGCCCCATTGCCCCATGTTCCAGACCAGAAATCAATTGTGACATTCAGACAAACTGCAAGTGCGACAAGACGAAGAACTGGAGTCCCTTGGCCCGTAAGATCTCCTGAGAACATTGAGGCAGTGAGAGCTTCAATGTTGCAATCACCACGGCGTTCTGCGCACAAACATGCGTCTGCCCTTGGACTTTCCGATCGTTCTGCGAGGAGAATTCTTCATGATGATCTTCATTTCCATCCTTACAAGATGGCGATTGTGCAGGAACTTTCTGAACGTGACTTCAATTCTCGGAGGAATGCGTGTGAGGTTCTTCTCGAAGTCGTTCCTGAGGACGCTATTTTCATTTGTGTGGATCCGCCAACAAACTGGGCTGACAACAATCCCCGAGAATTGCATCAAAGGCCTTTGCATTCACCTAAAATCACAGTGTGGTGAGCAATTTCCTCAGCTGGAATTATTGGTCCCTGATTCTTTGAGGAAAATCAAGTCGCAGTGACGGTGAATTCGGACCGGTATGTAAATATGTTACAGGATTTTTTTCCCCCACAGCTAGATGGGTTGGACTTAGGGGACATCTGGTTCCAACAAGACGGTGCAACTGCACACACTTCAAGAGCATTGATGGCTGTTTTGAGGGAACATTTCCCAGAGCACCTCATCTCAATTAGGGGGGATTTGGAGTGGTCGGCCCACTCTCCAGATTTGGCCCCTTGTGATTTTTTTCTATGGGGTTTTTTGAAATCCCGTGTTTATGTGAACCGTCCAAGGACCCTACAAGATTTGAAAACCAACATCCAGGAAGAAACGGCCAACATAATGTCTGCTATGCTGGCAAGAGTAATGACAAACGCCAGAAATCGGTTTACTCAGTGTATGGAGAATGGGGGACATCGCCTACCTAATTTGATCTTCAAAACTACGTAAAACAAAACTTTAGGTATGTGCCTACATTATAAAAAAATATTCTGATTCGTACAATGGGTTTTATTAAGTTTTGAAAAAAGGAAGTTATGCTGCTGCACCCTGTACATATTCCCCTGTGTCTGAACTGCCAACAGTGTACAAAAAGGGTTAGCAGTCATTTCACATGGCACAGGCTCAACTTGTAACTCTCCCACTCCTAATCATATCTGAGCCAAGTATTGGAAAAGGCCTATCTACGATCAATTCTAAGACCTTGCTCCTTGCTTTTAGAGACAGGGCTGTCATCATGAGAAGTGTCACTCTCTTTTAGTTCTACACTTCCTTCCCTCTAGCAATGCTTCAGTGCCAGGTCCCCCAAGACTATTCATTCGGCAGCCTTCCCATTAACATATCTGCTTGCGCTGTCTCCTGGAGATGGGGCATTTTGAGCTTCTGTGTCTGAAACAGGATGGCTTCCTGCCTTTGGGAGGGAAGGTGAAGGAGGAGCATAAGCTGGAGCTCCTGATGGTGCAATGGGTTAAAACAGGTTAGAGGTTCGAATCTGGGCAGAGTGCAAATGAGCTCCTTCTGTCAGCTCCAGCTCCTCATGCAGAGACGTGAGAGAAGCCTCCCACAAGAATGATAAAACAATAAAAACATCCATGTGTCCCCTGGGCAACATCCTTGCAGACGGCCAATTCTCTCACACCAGAAGTGACTTGCAGTTTCTCAAATCGCTCTTGACACACACTCAAAAAATGGCAATCTAAGTCAAACCTACCCAGCGTGACGGAGTTGATCTTGCCCTTGATATGGAGCGTACTGTTCACACACTTGTAGACGTAGGCCACCTGCTTCAGCTCTGTGTCGCTGATCACCAAGTTAGAGGCGTTCTCATGGTTCTCCTAAAAGGGGGGGGGGGGGAAGAGCTGCTCATTCTCGCTGTTTGCAGAATCGATCAGAAACAGCCGATAAAGATGAGCAGATGCATTGATCTTAGACCAGCCATCCTGCATCCTTCTCTCTCCTTCCAGGACTGAAATGCTTAATCCATTTCTCAAAATATTTGATACACTGCGGAAGTTCTCCAATTAACAGCCTGTAATTGAACATCAAAAAAACCAAAGTGCTCTTCCAGCAGTCACCAGCCAATCCAGGCCCAGGTATTAGATTTGCTGCGGATAACTAGGACGGTTTTAAATGGTGTATTTTAATATTTTGATAAATGTTTTTTTAATGTTTATGTATTGTATGTGAATTTGTGTCCCGGCATTAAATGTTTGCCGTGTATATGCTGTGCTCTGCCCTGAGTCCCCTTTGGGGTGAGAAGGGAGGAATATAAATGTTTTAAATAAATAAATAATAAATAATCCCTCTCCAATGCCAGAAATACAGCTTAATGGTGTATCATTAGAAAATGCTGACCATTTCCACTACCTTGGCAGCCACCTTACCACAAAAGTCAACATTGACACTGAAATTCAACACCGCCTGAGCTCTACGAGTACAGCACTTTTCCGAATGAAGCAGAGAGTGTTTGAGGACCGGGACATTCGTAGGGATACCAAAGTGCTTGTTTATAAAGCGATTGTCCTCCCAACTCTGCTATACGCCTGCAAGTCGTGGACTGTCTACAGAAGTCACATGCAACTCCTAGAACGATTCCATCAGCGCTGCCTCTGAAAAGTCCTGCAAATCTCTTGGGAAGGCAAGCGGACAAATGCCAGTGTGCTGGAAAAAGCAAAGACCTCCAACACTGAAGCGATGGTCCTCTGCCATCAACTCCGCTGCACCGGCCACATTCTCCGGATGCCCGACCACCATCTCCCAAAGCAGTTGCTCTACTCCGAACTCAAGAACAGAAAACGGAATGTTGGTGGGCAGGAAAAGAGATATAAAGATGGCCTCAAAGCCAACCTTAAAAACTCTGGCATAGACACTGAGAACTGGGAAGCCCTGGCCCTTGAGCACTCCAGCTGGAGGTCAGCTGTGACCAGCAGTGCTGTAGAATTTGAAAAGGCACAAATGGAGGGCGAAAGAGAGAAACGTGCCAAGAGGAAGGCGCGTCAAGCCAACCCTGACTGGGACAGTCTTCCACCTGTAAACCAATGCCCTCACTGCAGGAGAACATGCAGATCAAGAATAGGTCACCTACAGACCCACAGTCACCTACAGACCCACCGCCAGTACACCGATCACAGACAATCCTACTCAGACAACGAGGAATCGCCTACGTGAGTAAGTAAGTAAGTCTCCAATGATCTGGGCAGCAGGCCTCAAAAAGACAAAATACATACTTCTAAAAAACTGCAATGGAAAGGGCTCTTTAGCTAACCCAAATATGCCGCTTGCTTCAAAAGTATTCTACACTTATCTTGAAATATTGCTAATTATTTGACCATTTTGTGAATGGCAAAGTATCTGACATATTGGACACTTTATTTATAACATGACTTTTTTTTTAGCAACTGGTACTCAAGGAAATCTTGGGAGATGGAAACTGCTCTTCCTTGGAAGGAATGGATACAAAGTTTGATGGTCAAATTTAACAAGTTAGAGCAACAAGGTGTTCTCAATTGGTTTGAGAAGCAACAGCTATATAATTGGAAAAATGACTTGTTAGGTAAAAATTTCAGAGGTAGAGAGCTGAATAAATATGAAGAATGGCTAAGTAAACTGGAAAAAAGCAAGAAATAGCTGGGAAAGGATTAATTGGGAAAATATACAATGGATTAACAGGTGAAGAAATAGGACTGAAGTTGTTAGAAAAGGTATAGGAAGGAGACCTAGGGCCTCTGATGGATCTCAATGGGGAAAGGGTTCCAAAGTGGAGAGTGGTTAAGAATCTGTAATTAGATTAAAAAGAAAATGCATACGAAGTCATATGGAGATGGTATACCATACCGGTTAAATTACACCAGATGGATAGGGAGCAAAGTAACCTCTGCTGGAGATGTGGCATGCACAAAGGGACATATTTTATATATGGTGGGAATGCCCCCAGCTGAAGAGTTTATGGAACAATATATTTATGGAAATAGGTAACATTATAGGATTAAACATCACCCCAGGTGCTAGGTTAGCATTATTAATGGACGCCACAAAGTTGAATTTAGAAATGAAAAAGAAAAAAAATGTGATTATTTTACTCACCATGGCGAGACTTATAATTGCAAGGAATTGGAAGATAGTAACCAATCTCGTGCTGGCAGAATGGTATGGGGAAGTATGGAACTATCAATGGAAATGAGGGTGTTTGGGGGGAAACTAATAGATCAGATTTTGATTCATCCCCTGCCACACGTTGCTGTGGCCCGTTCTGTGTATATGTGTTTATGTGTGTGTATATATGTGCGTATATATTTGTGTATTCGTGTGTGTGTGTGTGTGTGTGTGTGTGTGTGTGTATATATATATATATGCATATTATGAGAAGAAAGGAAATCTTAGAGAAGACAATTATGCTGGGGAAAATGGAAGGAAAAAGGAAGAGTGGCCGACCAAGGGCAAGATGGATGGATGGTATCCTTGAAGTGACTGGATTGACTTTGAAGGAGCTGGGGGTGGTGGTGACGGCCGACAGGGAGCTCTGGCGTGGACTGGTCCATGAAGTCACGAAGAGTCGGAAATGACTGAACAAATGAACAACAACAACAAATGCAAATTGTGTATATGTGTGTGCTTGTCTATATGCATATTTGTGTGTATGTATATGTGTGTGCATGTGTATATCTATATATGTATGTGTGCATGTGTATATGTATATATGTGTATATTTGTATGTGCTTGTGCATATATATATGTGTGTGTGTGTATGAATGTGTGCCTATGTATATGATTGTATGTGTATATGTATTTATGGTGTATTTTTGGGGATTTTAAGTCTGTTCCGCTGGGGGGGGGGGGGGTTGTGTGTTTTTAGGGGTGATGGGCACTTGTTGGACTGTTAGATGTATTGTGTTAAAATTTCGTGTCAATTGGACCAGTGGTTACTGAGTTATGTTTCTCCCACAAACGAACACTACATTTTTATATATAGAGATGTTGTAGAGCAGGGGTCCTCAAACTTTTTAAACAGAGGGCCAGGTCACAGTCCCTCAAACTGTTGGAGGGCCGGATTATAATTTGAAAAAAAATGAATTAATTCCTATGCACACTGCACATATCTTACTTGTGGTGCAAAACCACTTAAAAACAATACAATAATTAAAATGAAGAACAATTTTAGCAAATATAAACTTATTAGTATTTCAATGGGAAGTTTGGGCCTTCTTTTGGCTGATGAGATAGGATTGTTGTTGTTGTGTGTGCTTTCAAGTCATTTCAGACTTAGGTTGACCTGAGCGAGGGCCGGGTAAATGACCTTGGGGGGCCACATTCGGCCCCCAGGCCTTAGTTTGAGGACCCCTGTTGTAGAGAGTGACAAGGGAAAACAATACGACCTTGCTAATCAGAAATTTGGGATATGACATTTGTTTATTGGTTGACTCATAAATTTATGGCAAAAGATATTATACTTGATCAGGCCATGGTGGTCGGGTTATGTATTCGTAAAATGTTCCTTGTTTTGTGTTCCGTTTACACTGTATGCTGTAAATGTATGTTAATATTGGGCTGTTGTAGATTTTTCGGGCTATATGATCACGTTCTAGAAGCATTCTCTCCTGACGTTATGCCTGCATCTATGGCAAGCATCCTCAGAGATTGTGAGGTCCTCTGAGGATGCTTGCCATAGATGCAGGTGAAACGTCAGGAGAGCATGCTTCCAGAACATGGCCATATAGCCCGAAAAATCTACAACAACACAGTGATTCCAGCTATGTTACTATTTTTTTAATTAAAAACTCCCAAAATACTGGTACTCAAGGAAACTTGGGAGTTTTGACCATAACCCCCAGAATCCACCAGCTAGAATGGTTAGACCAGTGGTTCTCAACCTGTGGGTCCCCAGATGTTTTGGCCTTCAACTCCCAGAAATCCCAACAGCTGGTAAACTGGCTGGGATTTCTGGGAGTTGTAGGCCCAAACACCTGGGGACCCACAGGTTGAGAACCACTGGGTTAGAATGAAACGTTAATGGCCAGAATCCAGCGACATATGCAGGCATAAACTGTGCTAATCACACAGAATGAGTCTTTTGGTTAAGCGGAACAGACATATCAAGTTAAAAGAGCTAGAAGCAGAGTTCCATTTGGGAAACTATGCCAGACATACAATAATGCACCTAGGTAATGTGTACACGCACATGTGTATGCAAACTGGACCATAGAATCATGCTGGAGGAGCAAGACATTCTTAGAGAGAACATATTACTCAAGTCTGCAAAACATATACCCACAAATGTGGAGGTCTAACTGTACACTGGTATCTAATATTGCCAACATCTAACAGTGTAACTCCAGCAAGAGATATCTATACCATGCTGAGACAATGCAGGATCTCAGCTTTCAGCTTCTGACCCTCATGCTCTCAATACTCACCACTCTCCATTTCTTCCCCTCCAGCTCCAGCATCGGGGGCTCCTTCCTTACAGGAGGCTTCTGGAAGGTGTTCCGATCACCTGCAGGCTTTGGGGCTGTGAAGGGCTTTGGTCCCGTCCTTATTGCCCCCCCTTGGTTCTTCAGCGTGGGGTTCTTGTGGGTCTTCATGTCATCGGACACGTGCTTTAGACCTAGGAGGGAAACAGGCCATTAACTTTCCTCTTGAATATGCCACAAAGCTGCAGGAACTAGCAATTGTTTCAAATTCAGTCCCTTGAAACTGAAGTTTCGTTCTCATGCTCTAGTTGCACTGCAATGTAGCTCCTTCCTATGTCATTCAGGGAGCATGAGAAGTTTTAGATCAGGCCACACAACCTGTGGTCCTCCGGATGTTTTGGCCTCCAACTCCCAGAACTCCTGGCCAGCCTGCCCAATGGTCAGGAATTCTGGAAGCCGAAGTCCAAAACACCTGGAGGGGGAGTTCTAGTTGTGCAGGCCTGTTCTAAATGCTGCTCCTCTCACGCAAGAGTCCCCCTCCAAACTCCATAGAATCCAGTGTGACCCCAGCAGTTCCGTATTTCCTCCCTGAATCATAGAATCATAGAGTTGGAAGAGACCTCATGGGCCATCCAGTCCAACCCCCTGCCAAGAAGCAGGAATATTGCATTCAAAGCACCCCTGACAGATGGCCATCCAGCCTCTGTTTAAAAGCCTCCAAAGAATCATAATGTAAATATCTAATATGCAGGATGTATTTTCATTTACTGGATCAAATTTGGCACAAATATCCGATATGCCCATATTTGAATACTGATGGGGTTGGGGGGATTGATTTTGTCATTTGGGAGTTGTAGTTACTGGGATGTATAGTTCACTTACAATCAAAGAGCATTCTGAACTCCACTAAGAATGGAATTGAACCAAACTTGGCACACGGAAATCCCATGACCAACAGAAAATTACTGGAAGGGTTTGATGGGCATTGACCTTTAGCTTTGGAGTTGTAGTTCACCTACATCAAGGACTCAAACAATGACTGATTTGGACCAAACTTGGCACAGATACTCAATATGCCCAAATGTGAACACTGGTGGAGTTTGGGGGAAATAGACCTTGTCATTTGGAGTTGTGGTTTCTGGGATTTATAGTTCACCTATAATTAAAGAGCATTCTGAATCCCACCAATGATAGAATTGGGACAAACGTCCCATACAGAACCCCCATGACCAACAGGAAATACTGTTTTCTGATGGTCCTTGGCGACCCCTCTGACACCCCCTTGTTACCCCCAGGTTGAGAAACACTGCACTAAAGTGTCCAGCTTTATTCTGGTCTCTCAAACAGGATGATCAAGGGTCTGGAGAACAAGCCCTATGAGGAGCGGCTTAGGGAACTGGGCATGTTTAGCCTGAAGAAGAGAAGGCTGAGAGGAGATATGATAGCCATGTATAAATATGTGAGAGGAAGCCACAGGGAGGAGGGAGCAAGCTTGTTTTCTGCTTCCTTGGAGACTAGGACGCGGAACAATGGCTTCAAACTACAAGAGAGGAGATTCCATCTGAACATTAGGAAGAACTTCCTGACTGTGAGAGCCGTTCAGCAGTGGAACTCTCTGCCCCGGAGTGTGGTGGAGGCTCCTTCTTTGGAAGCTTTTAAGCAGAGGCTGGATGGCCATCTGTCAGGGGTGATTTGAATGCAATATTCCTGCTTCTTGGCAGGGGGTTGGACTGGATGGCCCATGAGGTCTCTTCCAACTCTTTGATTCTATGATTCTATGAGGGTATGGGAGCTTTCGGGGTTTTTCTGAATCTTGATGAAGAGAACTCTTTGGCCTCAATCCCTCCTTCTTATAGCATCAGCTGTTCCTCCTTGGAACTTCTCCTCAGAAGATCTTCAGAATGTGTGGGATTGTCCCAATGAGCAAAGACTGGGAACAGGGAAACCTGGGTTCAAATACCATTTGCCATTGTTGCTAAGCTCACCTCCCAAGTCGCTCTCAGCTTCTGGTATGCCACAGAGCTCTTGCATGAATAGAATGCGACTGCAAGTTCTCTCTAATTATGCCTTTGGTTTGATGTAGAACCAAGTACAATTGAAACACAAAAGTCAAGCTGTCTCACGAAGCAAAGACTGGCTCCCGCCCCTTCACCTGCTGCTAAACCAGGCAGGCAGCCAGCAAGAAGGCGATGATGGAGTGGGAAAGATCGCTACATTTTAAGGATCAAATCCGGTTGCATTGGAAACAAGACATTCCTGTAATATAACTGTCTCCCCTCTTTGGCAAGAAACAGAAATTGTGCTCCAAATGGCACATTACAGCTCATAAGTCCTTTATCAACCCTGCTATGGATGCTGTGCAATACAAGCCAATAGATCAGTGGCTCTCAACCTTCCTAATGCTGCGACCCCTTAATACTCATGTTCCTCATGTTGCGGTGACCCCCAACCATAAAATTATTTTAATTGCTACTTCATAAGTGTAGTTTTGTTACTCTTATGAATCATCATGTAAATATATTGTCGAAGGCTTTCATGGCCAGAATCACTGGGTTGTTGTAGGTTTTTTTGGGCTACATGGCCATGTTCTAGAGGCATTCTCTCCTGACATTTCACCTGCATCTATGGCAAGCATCCTCAGAGGTAGTGAGGTCTGTTGGAACTAAGAAAACGGGTTTATATATCTGTGGAATGACCAGGGTGGGACAAATATGTAAATATCTGATATGCAGGATGTATTATCACTGGACAAAATTTGACACAAATATTCGATACACTGAAATTTGAATACTGGTGGGGTTTGGGGGGGGGGGGGGTTCATTTTGTCATTTGGAAGTTGTAGTTCCTGGGATTTATAATTCCCCTAAAATCAAAGAGCATTCTGAACTCCACCAACAATGGAACTGAATTAAACTTGGCACATAGAACTCCCATGACTAACGGAAAACACTGAAAGGGTTTGGTGGGCATTGACCTTGATTTTTGGAGTTATAGTTCACCTACCTCCAGAGAGCACTGTGGAGTGAAACAATGATGGATGTGGACCAAACTTGGCCTGAATACTCAATATGCCCAAATATGAACACTGGTAGAGTTTGGGGGAAAATAGACCTTGACATTTGGGAGTTGTAGTTACTGGGATTTATTGTTCACCTACAATCAAAAAGCATTCTGAACATGGGTTTTGTAATCCCCCCAAACATTGGGGTGTTTGGGCATTTTAATATACCTTTTTTGTTTATATATTGTCCTATTTCCTATATAGCGGATCCAAAGGCTATAAATGCAGATAGGAACTTACAACAGAGAATATAAGTAGTCAAGCGTGTGCATCAATAACCTTTTCAAAACTATGTCAATTTGGGGATTTTTGTATATCTATTGTCTGTATGTTGCTTTATTTCTTATTTAGTGAATTCAAGCTTTATAGATAAGAATAACACCCGAAGAAGATATTACGAAACAAGGGAAACAACCCGGGAGACCTTGTTGTGTTACTGTTCCTGACGTTATATATTGATGAAGAACCTTCTACAACATAGAAATTGTTATCTTGGAAGCTGAAATCTCATTATATTGCATTTAACAATATTTGAGTTATTATTTCTGATGTAATGTACTTATGAAGAATCTCCTGGTATATAGGTAAAGGTTGTCCCCTGACATTAAGTCCAGTCATGTCTGACTCTGGGGTGTGGTGCTCATTTCCATTTCTAAGCTGAAGAGCCGGCGTTGTCCATAGAAACCTCCAAGGTCATTTGGCTGGCATGACTGCATGGAGCGCCATTACCGGAGGTATTGATCTACTCACATATGCATGTTTTCGAACTGCTAGGTTGGCTGAAGCTGGGGCTGACAGCGGAAGCTCACACCGCTCCCCGGAATCGAACCTGCGACCTTTCGGTCAACAAGCTCAGCAGCTCAGCGCTTTAACCCATTGCGCCACCAGGGTATATAGTAATTGTTATTTTGGAAGTTTAAGTTTCATTGTGTTGACAAAATATTGATAAACAATCTTTCATGTATAAATATTAATTAATCGTGTTAATGTTCCCGTGTTACATTGATTGAAAAATTTCCTGTAATATAGGAATTGTGATTTGCAATCTGCAGTTTTTGCAAGCCTCCTACCAGCCTCGCACGCACATGTGCCCCACATTGTCATGCGCCAAACACGCCTGCTCTCCCCTCCCCGCTGGGGAGTCTCAGAAACACCCTTCCCTTGGCTGAGAGGCCAAGCAATCACAGCAAGAAAAAGAAGGACAGGTGGAGAGATCTTCTGTCTTCTCTGCCAAAGGGGATCATAAGAACATCAGAAATATATGTTTTCTGGTGGTCTTTGGTGACCCCTCTGAAAACAGTCTCGCGATCTTCCTAGGGGTCTCGACCCCAGGTTGAGAAACACTGGAATCAAAGATCTTTTGAAGCAGATTCAAGTTCCTGACAGTTTGGCAGGCGTTTCAACTAGCTGCTGCCAGTGGTGACACAGCACTAGTTTACTGCATTGCAGAACATCCAGTGCATCCATTCCAGTGCTGTATTCACATTCTAAAACAGTGGTTCTCAACCTACGACCCCTTAATACAGTTCCTCATGTTGTGGTGACCCCCAACCATAAAATTATTTTCATTGCTACTTCATAATTGTAATGTTGCTCCTGTTATGAATCGTGGCGCAGTGGGTTAAAGCACTGTGCCGGCAGGACTGAAGACCGACAGGTCGCAGGTTCGAATCCGGGGAGAGGCGGATGAGCTCCCTCTATTAGCTCCAGCTCCTCATGCGGGGACATGAGAGAAGCCTCCCACAAGGATGATAAAACATCAAAAATCATCCAGGCGTCCCCTGGGCAACGTCCTTGCAGACGGCCAATTCTCTCACAAGAGCAGTTGCTCCTGACATGACAAATTTTTTTTCGTAATGTCAATATCTGATATGAAGGTTGTATTTTCAGTCATTGAACCAAATTTGGCACAAATGCCCGATAGGCCCAAATTTGAATACTGGTGGGGTTGGGGGGGGGGGGGGGGAAGAAAGATTTTGTCATTTGGGAGTTATAGTTGATGGGATTTATAGTTCACCTACAATCAAAGAGCATTCTGAACTCTACTAATGATGAAATTGAACTAAACTTGGCATACAGACCTCCCATTACTAATAGAAAATACTGGAAGGATTTGATGGGCATTGACTTTTG